TGCAAACATATACCAGCTTCATCACTGTGTCTGTCACGCGACTCTGTTCCCCTTTCGGGCTCGGTCTTTACATTTATTTTGAAAGATGAAGCTCGCGATTATGGTAAGGGGCGTTACATTTCCGACGAGTGCTTGCGGTGTTCGGCCAATCACAATGCACTGGGTCAGCTGGCCAATCAGAGCACACTGCGCTTGTCGGAAGGAGGGACTTTGTAGAAAACTAAGCGTTTGAGAGAGGCGGGGCATAGAGGACCTACAATAATGTACAGTATTTGAAAAAGAATGTGTTTTTTTAACATTAAAGCATGTCAACATATTCTGTTAAACCAAATACACAAAATAATGATCTTTAAAAAAGCATCATATGACCCCTTTAAAAAGGGCTCCAGCACGTGTTCTTCCACTACGTCCTTGGGTTTCCACTGGGCTCTACGTCACCGCAGCCGGTCATGTGACCTCAGGGCCCGTATGTGCTTGTCTCCGGAACACGGGCGCTAGTGAGCAAGTACGCGAGAGGATGGAGTGTGCTGGAGGAACTCTGTCTGTTAAATCCTCCAAGACATAAAACAGCCATACGCTTCACGCGTCCAGCATTCGCCGAAGAAGAAAGGAGCCTTGCATCACTGTTAAAGCGGCTTGCTTCGGCTCGTGTGGTTGATCTGCGGCGCGCGGAGCCGGATGTCGGCGCACAGAGGCGGACCCTAGAGAGACGCGAGACGGCTCGGCAGCGACACGCTTACCGCATACCGTCGGGGATGTTCTCGGTACTCTCCTATGGCAGGATCGTTGCCAGGGCTGTCCTGGGCGGACTCTCGCAGACGGACGGCAGAGATTACAGCCTGATCACGGCCAGCTGCGGCTTCGGGAAGGACTTTCGGAAGGGGATCCTGAAGAAGGGCATGTGCTACGGCGACGATGCCTGCTTCATTGCCCGGCACAAGTCCGCGGATGTCTTGGGTGAGTGCTACCACAATTCAGTGTGTTATATATCACCTGCACATGTTGTTATGGCACGAATATGCACGGTGAGCAGCTTGTCAGGGACTTTTAACTATGAAAGTGACCTTCACAGCGAGCGCTCATTTCGTGATGGACGGGTGTGCGGGACTGAGTCCAGCCCTCACCTGAATAACCTTGAATCTCTGGGATATACTTGATCCCACCTGTAGATTTAACACGCGTTCCTTAAATATGGAGCAACCGATTATAAATATTATACATCACATAACACATAAAAAAATATAGATTTAATGCGAAATGATCTTGGGTAATCCAGGGTGACCTTTCACCCAGAAAGACGCCAGGCTGAACCCCCAAAGCGCGACTAGCGGCGGAAACTAGAACGGTTTCCCCGTGAAACCTTTCCATCATGGAAACACGGATATAAATGATATGCTGTCAAAGTCAGGCGTGCTTAACATATTAATAGATTTCTCCGATCGCGTGTGCTTAGACTCTATAAATGTAATTTACGCTGCGAATATTTAAGTAATTCAACCTGTTTAAAGAATGCAATGCATAAAACATGTATGCATGAACTCGATTATGTTATGTAGGAGTCGTAAGGGCTCGCTTGTAAGTTGCAGGAGCTCTTGTAAAGGTCAGAATGGTTGAGCATGGAGGCGGCCATGTTTACTCGCATCCACACGTTCCTGTGACACACACAGGAGGCTTCACTGGCCACAGAAACATTCTCTGTCATATTTACAACCTAGAATAATAATCCTCATATAATAGTACCGGATAGTTTTCGCTGGAAGAGCTCCGAATAATGTGCAATGTTCTCAAGTTAACAAGATACAGGGAAACAAAGGACCCCCTGTTACATTCACGTGCTACAATCAATGTTCGGCTTTTGTTCCAGACTCAGCAGCACGTGAGTAGCAGACCAGCTGTTCAGCACCGAAGTTAAACTATGGCTCTGCCTAACGTGCGTCAAAATACCAGATACTGCACTTATTGACTCATGTTAAACCAGCCTTTTACATTTTCTAAAGTGGGGCTTGTGCAATACTTGGTCACTGTTCTTGGGCATTGCTGAGCATTGCTGTGTGTGGCTGTTAAGTGGATATAGAGTGCAGTAGTTAGGTTCCAGAAGGAAAAATCCCATTAAAGTTCTTAACCCGGATTTCATTTTTAAAGCATTAACAGACAAGACCTGCTGTGAGCTGCAAGATTGCTAAACAATGGTAAACGCTTTTGTTGAAGCCATCAGCCCATTTATTTTTAACTTATTTTGCAAATAATCATGTTTAACAGCTAAAAAACTACATTACCCATGATTCTGCTGCGAAATCTACACCAATCAGAGAATCACAACAAAATGAAGCACTGCAAATGACTTAAAGGGGTCATATGATGCGATTTCAAGTTTTCCTTTCTCTTTGGAGTGTTACAAGCTGATTGTGCATAGATAAGATCCCTGAAGTTGCAAAGACTAAAGTCTCAAAACCAAAGAGATATTCTTTATCAAAGGCTTGTGTACTGCATCATTACTGTGTCTGTTCCCCTTTCGGGCTTGAACTGATGGTAAAACTAATTACATATTTTGAAAGATGAAGCTTGCGATTATGGTAAGGGGCGTTACATTTCCGACGAGTGCTTGCGGTGTTCGGCCAATCACAATACACTGGGTCAGTTGGCCAATCAGAGCAGACTGCGCTTGTCGGAAGGAGGGACTTTGTAGAAAACGAAGCGTTTGAGAGAGGCGGGGCATAGAGGACCTACAATAATGTACAGTATTTGAAAAATAATGTGTTTTTTGAACATTAAAGCATGTCAACATTGCATTACACCAAATACACAAAAATGATCTTTAAAAAAAGCATCATATGACCCCTTTAAAGGGGTCATATGATGCTGCTAAAAAGAACATTACTTTGTGTATTTGGTGTAATGCAATGTTGACATGCTTTAATGTTCAAAAAACACATTATTTTTCAAATACTGTACATTATTGTAGGTCCTCTATGCCCCGCCTTTCTGAAACGCGTCGATTTTTACAAAGCTCATCGTTCTGAAAAGCGAGGTGTGCTGTGATTGGCCAGCTATCCAGTGCGTTGTGATTGGCCGAATACCTCAAGCGTGTGACAGAAATGTTACGCCCCTACCATATTGTGATGCCGTGTTCCGGCCGGAGCGACGAGACAAAAACATTAAAACGTTTCCATATTTAAAGGATTTGCCACTGACGATTCAAACTCGAGTTTTGGGCAGTGTAGAGTAGCGCTTGTTGTTTGTCATTTCTCCAATCACAAATGCAGACATGGTTTTATGTTTACATGGTGCGATGCAACGCGTAAAAAGACAGTATAAGTCATTATAATCCGTAATTATGTCCCCACTGGATGCAACAAATGCCTCGTTTACAATGGGTTTTATTGGTTTTGTCTAGTCGCGCCGGGAGACCTGACAGAGCATCATCACAGTATGTTAAGGAGCGTAACATTTCCGTCACACGCTTGAGGTATTCGGCCAATCACAACGCACTGGATAGCTGGCCAATCACAGCACACCTCGCTTTTCAGACCGATGAGCTTTGTAAAAATCGACGTGTTTCAGAAAGGCGGGGCATAGAGGAGAAACAATAATGTACAGTATGTGGAAAATAATGTGTTTTTTGAACCTTAAACTGCATAAACACATTTCATTACACCAAATACACCAAATTGTTCTTTTTTTAGCAACGTCATATGACCCCTTTAATTGAGTCAGTCTCCCTGCTCTTGCAATTTACTTATATTTGTATAAATATGCATATTTTGCAATCAGTGTAAAATATACAAATTCTGTATGTAAAATCAGCATATTTAAATCAATAGTTTTATATTTATTATGTCACTTGAGAGGCTTCATGGAATTGTAGTTCATTCCCTCATTAAAGTTTTTAAGTACAGATTTTGTCTTATTGTCTGATACGTTTTTGCTTCAAATCAAAGTTAGTTGTGATTCACTTCACAACTGGTTGGTTTGTTTGCATCATCTCCTTTTATAAACTTGATTTATTTTAAAAAATGTGTCTCTGTTTGTCTCTGTCCACTGAGTCTAGTGAATTCCTCTATTTACTGTCACATGTCTTTAAAGGTCAGTTGATGATTTTCACTTTCCGCTCCAATTAGCTTAATGAACCGGTCTTATGAAACGGGAAGAAACAGCTCAGGGGTTTATTTGGTGCCATTATTAATTCAGTGGTCTGTTTTCTCAGTGGTTCCTGTTGAAGTTTCAGGGGAACCTTTGAAGTCCCGTAATCCGTTGGATGCGAGTTGTTCGGTGAAACACTTCTCCAGGAGTTCGCAGAGATGTGCTCGGTCACAGCCAGAAACAGTCCTTAATCCAGCAGTCATTACAGCTGAACATTGGCACCAATCACATATGCAGCTTTTTATTACCTCAGTTTTTGCAGACATTTGATATTCCATTTAACAGCAATAAAAAGTGATCATATAAGACGAAAGAACGGCTTTTTGGAGGTTTCAGTTTTATCATTTGTAGCTGTGCCAACTGGAAGTAATGTGTTATTTTCACTCATGTTGATGGTATGCCCAAAGTCTATAAATATGGTAACACATTATATCCACGTCCTATTGTGCAGTCCTACAAAAATGCACAGCAAACCAATTTTTTTTACATTTTAAAAATCAAAATTTTTTTATCAGAAAAATCTCAATTAGATTTTTTCCCCCCAAATCGTGCAGTACATGGTTATATATGTTAATATAAAAAATGGCAATGATACCCATTTTAATTCAGCTAATTAAATACAATGGGTCAAAGACATGTTCACAATAAAGAACATGAAAAACATAAAGTAATTTAAAACGAGTCAAATTCTTAGAAATATTATCTTTCCATTCATGTTCATTTAATTTGATTTTGCAAAGCGTCTATACCATTTTCAAGAAAAGTTTCAATTGAATGTCTAACGTAATAAATATCACGTTCATAAATTTCATTGTTTTTGGGCAGTCGCATGCACCACATGCCATGAGACACTTTTTAAGACCAGTGTAGAAATCGAATAAACACCCATCTGTCATTTAACCCGGTATGTTAAATACAGATGCTCTCTGGGTGACTGTTTTCACAAAGTTGCGCTTGATACATAAAGTGAACTCGTTGTATGGCAGCGCTGGAATCTGCTTTCAGATATGCGCTGGTGTAAACAGATGGATGTTTCACTGAGGGCAGTTTTCTTTAGCTCTTTTGCTATGGTAAATATGGTCGTCTCAGGTTAATGTTTATGAAACAAATGTTTGTGTATTAAAGATTTGAGTCTTGGAATCACTTATGTGACGTCACGATTTGGCCTGGATATTGGACGTCTATGTGGCGTTATAAAAAAACGTTTCTTCCTGCAAAGTGTTACGATACAGTATGCACCAGGTTATATTGTCACATTCTCTTTAAGTATTTTTTTTTGCAGCGTTGTGATGAACAGTTGGTCTTGTTTGCAAAGCTCCATTGAAATGTTAATGGTAACTTAATTTGTGCTGCTCTAAAAAGTGTTTAACTCTGATAAGCCGCCCTCATTCCTTATGAGCCTGGATCTCTCTTTGAGCCCATGCAATCTCTTGATTCAGTAGCTCAGCTGTTTTCAAAACCGTGAAACCTTACCAGTAATAAGGTTAGTAGCAGTGTAGTGTGTGCAAACGCGGCAGTATTTTATTTGTTATTGCTGTATTATATCGCAGGGTCACATATGGAATTGCTCTGTATACTTCAACAGTTGTAATAAGATATCACATTTTTCAGCATCTTTTTTAAAAACATATTTCAACAAATAATACACCTAAAATGTAAAAATATGAAATCTATTGTATTGCTAAGTTTGCATTCTTTTAATTAAGCTAAGAGGTCACAGCCATCTTCTATTCGTCACGTCGAATTTTCAAATTCAGAATTTTGTGGGCTAAAAGGCTTCAATAACATGGCGATATATGATGCACAACTCTCATTCACTTGAGCGAAATCTTCACTCAAGGTTGTGCGGATTCCTATTAAAATGACTGGATTTGGCCATCGAAAATTGGCTAAGCAAGGTGATTCAGTCATTCAAAACAGCAGTTCACTGATTTGAGTTTTTGAATTATTTTATTTATTACTAAATGTTATTTAAATTTTTTTTTAATTAGTAAACACTCTTCATTACTAAGTTTTTTTTATCACCATTATACATATTTTTTTCTTGCATTTTGTGCAGTTTTTACAAGATAACTTTAATGCTGCCGCACTCATTTAGTTTTTATTTTTATTTGAACATATACTATAATTCCATAATATGTTATTAGATAGTCGTTTAAAATGTAACCTTGAACATTGAACCTTATTTAGCTGCTAGTTCGTAGCCTGTTGTGTAGCTAACTACTTGTTTAAAAGATGGTAACAATTTTAAATTCAGTGTTTATATATTAAATAAAATGGCAATGTTACACATTTAATATAATTGTTAATTAATTATAATGGATCAGTGACATGTCCACAATAAAGAAGTTTTAAATCTAGTTTAAAACGTGTCAAGTTCTTAGAAATGTACTCTCATTCATGTTTGTTTCATATGATTTTGCAAAACGTTTATACCATTTTCTGTTGTGTAGCCAAGTACTATAAAGAAATGGTAAATACTTAATCCTTAATCGTTGAATTTAATTTATAGCTTTTTTTTTTTAACCGTTTCACCATTTTCGACATGAGAAGCTAGCAGTGCTTGAGTTGTCTGGAATAAAAGAATAACTGAAGAATAACCAGTAGTTACTAGCTACCTGGAGTTTAAGTGGTTCACAAGATCTACATCTAACATCATCTTTGTTGAAAGAAGGCGTCAGACGGGCTGTAGCAGACAGCTGTTTTGCATTACCATCACAATGCACAGTCAGTCAAGAGGTCAGGAAGGAGGATTGTGGCAGCTGCCATCTGTCTCTGCAGCGTCAGACACTGTCATCTCTTCCTTCCGTTTCGTCCGATTGTCAGAAGTTAGGTGTTAAAGCTATTAGGGTTGAGGAAATTACGAGTTTACAGTATGTTTCTCCTTGTGTTTTCCTCTCAGGTGTTGCGGATGGCGTCGGGGGCTGGAGGGATTACGGCGTGGATCCGTCGCAGTTCTCCGCCACTCTGATGAGGACGTGCGAACGGCTCGTGAAGGAGGGCCGCTTCACTCCCAGCAGCCCCGTGGGCATCCTGACCTCCGGCTACTATGAACTCCTGCAGAACAAAGTACCGCTGCTGGGTAAGATCATATCCACACACGCACACCAAACCATACGGTGAGTCACACACTCACTGCCGCTTTTACAGGATAAATAAATTAAACCGCTGCAGGATGACTCACAGTCCTTGTGTCGTGATGTACAGTATTGATTCTTGTCCAAGTTTTTTTCCCAGTGTAATGTCAATAAAAAACCTTAACTGTTAGACTGTTAACATAACTTGGACTGTTATGAGTCGCAAATTTCAGATGTCTCATGCAGTGCTATTTTAGTATTATTTATTTTCTATTATAGAATTTATTAATATTTTGAATGAGCTTTTATTTTTACATTTTTAGTAATTTTATTAGTTTTTTCTATTTAGCTTTTATTTTTGTTGTAGTTTTAGTATTTGTAGTACTTCAACTTTAACATTAAACTTTTTTTTTCATCTAATATTTATATATTATTTTATTTCAATTAACAATTTTTTTTCTTCATTTAGTTAACAATAATTACACATTAATGATTGATTTTGAATGCTCTATATAGGTAACAACTAAACTCCCAATTAGGGCTGTCACAATTCCTCGATTAAAATCGAGTACTCGATTATAAAAAAATCCTCGATTGCATTTTGCCCGTGATGATTAACTGGCAAAATACCGGAAGTGGCGCATTCCACAGACGAGAATCCATGAAAAACATTATTAGACCGTCTTCCAAGGCTGCACAAAATAATGCAATTGTGAATTCACAAAGGCTGCGATTCAATTAAATAAATATATGCACTGCGGGTTTAATATGTGCTTTATTTACAAGCGCATCTCAGAGCGGCTCCGTTCACAGTAAATGCTGCTCCACACAAACAGCCATCATTTACATGCGTTGCTTATAATGTTCATTTGGGAACAATGTGCACCATTCTATCAGATTTATAAGGTAAATCATTTATAAACCTACACCAACACAGGAGAATACAACATCTTTCTAAATATGCTCACTCTTCATAATGACTTCAGAATAAAAGCTTAAACCTTCGCTCTGAATTTGCATGTTTTGATGTGCACATGTTCTTGTTCAGGAAATGACAGCGGCTCTAGCATTTCTATCATAAAGAAGTGGACAAATATGAAAGATTAAGTGGACATTTTAATTAAATGTTGTTTAGTCAATAAGTATTTGATCTCGCTGTAAAGTGTAAAAACAATCGTCAGGCAGTTGGTGTCCTCTGCAGGCATGTGATGTAATACATAATATACACAAATTATAATTATATTATTACATTATGTATTCTAACTGTTTTGTTCAATAAAACCATATGGTTACTTGCTTTTAATATTATATTTGAACCAATTATTATTACCCCATTGTTATGTATTTTAAGTCATTTTAAAGGGATAGTTCACACAAAAATGACCTTTCTGGGCCTTGATCGTGGTAGTGCCCTTGCGGTCTATGGAGGGTCAGAAAGCTCTCGGATCTCATCCAAAATATCTTAATTTGTGTTCTGAAGATGAACGAAGGTCTTATGGGTTTGGAACGACATGAGGGTAAGTAATTAATGACAGAATTTTCATTTTTGGGTGAACTATCCCTTTAAAGTTTATTATTCGCTTATGTCTATTTTTATTACCACAATTAATTTTATCCAATTACTCTATTAATCATCAGAATAATCATCCAATTACTTGATTACCAAAATAATTGTTAGTGACAGCCTTACTCCCAACTGATTTAAGTTTTAAGTTAGCAAGTTGTTAAGCTAGATAATAAATTAATAGGCAACACTTTACAAGGTCTCATTTGTTAACATTAGCATTAAGCATTAACTAACATAAACAAACAATGAGTAATGTATTTTTACAGCATTTATTAACCATTGTTAATGTTAGTTAATAAAAATGTTAACAGATGCAATGTCTGATCTTAATGTATTAATTAATATTAGAGTATAATAGAGAGAATATTAGATTAATAAATGCTGTAGCAGTATTATTAGTTGTTAGTTCATATTAACTAATCTGGTGAACTAATGTTAACAATTGAAACCTTTATTGTGAAGTGCTACCAATTAAATAATTAATTAGTTAATACATTTTTATCAATACTTTTCAGCATTGAATGATGTATATTTATTATTGCGATTTCTGTTAATTTGTCTTCCATCTTGCAAGGCATTCTGGTAAGACTCCATTGTCTATTAAGCATATTTTACTGATCCGTCCTGCTTTTAATATCACTAGGAAAAGATGGATGTTTTTACAAAGGTCCCATTAGGTTTGACGTTTTTCCTTCAATTTTTAAAGGGGTCATATGATGTTGCTAAAAAGAACATTATTTTGTGTATTTGGTGTAATGAAATGTGTTTATGCGGTTTAAGGTAAAAAAACATTATTTTCCACATACTGTACATTATTGTTTCTCCTCTATGCCCCGCCTTTCTGAAACGCGTCGATTTTTACAAAGCTCATCGGTCTGAAAAGCGAGGTGCGATCTGATTGGCCAGCTATCCAGTGCGTTATGATTGGCCGAATTCCTCAAGCGTGTGACGGAAATGTTACGTCCCTTACCATATTGTGATGCCTGCGGCAACCACATGTGACGACCCCAGGCTGGACTCCGCTTCGTCCACGGTGAAAGCCGATCCGGCGATTTCCTCAGCGACCAGCACGGATCAGCTCTAGGCATGACGAAGCGATATCGTCCTCTTTTGGAAGGCCAACCAAAGTAGTTTCGCTTTCACAACGAAACACACAGCACCTTCACGACATGGCTGCAGCGGCGACAACAATACTACAGCGAGAATAAAAGTTACGCCTTTTTTCTTTGCGTGAACATTTGGGCGGCGTTATGCAAATCTTCCCACATAGTGAGGTAGACATGTGGGGGCGTGTTAGAACGAGCCGTTTTAGGTAGGTGTGGCTGACTCTAAACTTTTTTTAAAGAATATCTCTTTGGATTTGAGACTTTAGTCTTTGCAAATTTACAAATCTTCTTTATGCACCAAGAGCTTGTAACACTCCAAAGAGAAAGGAAAAAATTAAATTGCATCATATGACCCCTTTAATAAACAGCAGAAATTATTTTATTTATTAGGGTTACTTTAACTAATAAATGGTCCAGAGGCATTTTTAACCTCACATGTTTCTGATGTAACACTAAGAGCAAAGACTGAGAGTAAAGTTAGATTCTCAAACAAGGCATTGGATTACCAAGCATGCAACCGGTCGTCTTTCTGCTGAAACCTGACATCACGGGCTGTCAGAAATGTCACTCTGAGTTGTTTACCTCTTTAAAAAGTGACCTGCTTTTATTTTGGGATGGCACGCAGAGCGATAAAGGTCTGTGGGTGACCATTCTAAGACAAGGTCACTTGGACTACAAGGCTTTGGCCAAGGATCGAGGGAAGGAAAGATTGTGACAAACTGGAAGGCCATCAGCATACAGCCTAATTAGAGATGCTTGTATTTTTTTTTAAGTGTTCAGCCTAAAACGGGATCAATGGGAAATGCTACTTTAAATTTTTTTTAAATAGGTTAACAAAATGGTTTAAATTTGTTAGTTAATTAACGTGTTAGGTGTCATGAACTAACAATGAACAGTACTTTTACAGCATTTCTGAATTTTTATTTTCTACATGCACTGCTGTTCAAAAGTTTGGGTCAGTAATATTTTTTTATGTTTTTGAAAGATGCATCTTTTGTTCACCAAGGCTCCATTCATTTGACCAGAAATACAGTAAAAGCAGTAATATTGTGAAATAATATTACAATTTAAAATAACTTTTCTATTTGAATATATTGTAAAATGTAATTTATTCCTGTGATCAAAGCTGAATTTTCAGCATCATTACTCCAGTCTTCAGTGTCACATGATCCTTCAGAAATCATTCTAATATGCTGATTTGCTGCTCAAGAAACATTTCCGATTATCAGTGTTGAAAACAGTTGTGCTGCTTTATATTTTTGTAGAAACCGTGAATGTTTTTTTTCAGGATTGTTTGAGTAGAATGTTCAAAAGAACATAATTTATTTTAAAATCGAAATCTTATGTCACATTATAAATACCTTTACGGTCACTTTTGATCAATTTAAAACGTGATGAATAAAAGTATTAATTTCCTTAATATCTTACGAACCCCAAACGTTTGAACGATAGTGGCATTTTAAGATATTTTAACATTTACAAATTTGTAACGTTTATTATTATTTATTAGCTCTAAAAAGGGGAATATTTATGACGAATTATAACTGGTTATGATTCATAATAAATATTTAGATTATATCTTCGAATTAACTGTAGCAGAATCAATATTACAATTATTTGATCTGTCCGTCCACCGAGCAGACAATATAATCATTTATCAATTCAAGGAATATTTATTTTCTGGCCACGGAACAATAAACTGTCCTTCTTTGTACAGTGCTAGCAGTAATTCTTAGCCAAATGTAGCAAGGGTTCAAACATTCATTGACTTGGAACTGTGAACAGTAAACAGAGACAATCCGTTGTGAATATAAGGGATTTAATAAAATGAAACTATATCTAACATATAACTAACTAAAACATATATATATACAGAATGAAGCAAAGTAAGGAAAAGATAGAGAATAGGAAAAGAATGGCAGTATTTCACATCACTTAACCACAACCTCTGAAAATCATCAAAGAATCCAATAATCGCCTTAAAAGGGACTGAGATTTAAACACGCATCTGAATAATTTTAAGCGGTTACTTGCATTGGTTTTCGATTGCTGAAAAAGAGTCCTGATGCGGTAGATAACGGAGGTCTTTTGATGAGTTCGTGAGGAGTCAGCTGGAAGTTTTTACTTCTGGTTCTTCTGAAGAAGAAGTCCACAGCGACTAACGTTACTTGAAAGTAAAAACTGCCGGAAAATAAAACTCAAGAGGAAGGTCTTGAGAGTCCTGAAAGGTGTTGTCTCAAACGAAGAAGAAGTTTTCTGAGCAAAGTTATTTTGGGCTGATCGCTTTTGAGAATTTCTATTCTGTGTGTGCTGGCCAATGAGAGGCATGGATTTTGAGCGGGAGAATCTTTCTTTGTCTCTCGTTTTATGGTTCATTTGCATGCTTTATGGCCGGTCTGGAATATCCGTAGTTTTAACCCAAAATATCGTACGAGTTATATGATGCGTTTCACAATCACATACTGTACGTCATTGTCCGAGGAATGAAAAACAGGTAACATTGATACCAAGATGCAACCATTTGGGATAGATTAAACCAAAGATACATACATACACCTGAATATAAGTGTTTTATGGCTTTAACTAATACAAATAACGAGTGGTAACTCATCTAATCTAACAAGGGAATGTACACACAACACATGCATATACCAGATACAATTATAACTGATTAATTATAGTCTAAAATAAAGAAATGTCTTTATGTGTGTGTGTGTGTTAGTTTGGGTGTGTGTGTGTGTGTGTTCGTTTGGCCATTTACAGCTCGTTGTAGAATGTGTTTGAAGTCAGATTGCAGGATGCCCGTGGGGGCTGGTTCTAATCTTCTTTGACGGCGAAGAACCATTTGGCAATTTAAAACCCCTATACAACGTAACATCTCTGACCAGAACTGTAATTTATATGCAAATGTCAAAAGGCTAAAAGGGGTCTTTTAAGCCATAAACAGTCCAACTATCATGCATGATCCTACGCAGACGCTACAAATTGATTAAATTATTTAATATATTATGAACAAACATTAAGAATAAATAATGGTATGCTTGTATATCAAAACACACCTAGATTGACAAAATTGCTGTAAAAAAGTTTGCATTAATGTTAACAAACAACCTTATTGTAAAGCATTACTGATGTGTTGCATGGAAAGTACACATTACTATCTGTCACTGTCAGTTATGCTTTGCTTGCAGATGTTTAACACATGTTGGTGGTATTTTTTATTTTTTTTTACAGTGATTGTCACCCTGACATAATTTACATGCAACAATTTCACCCTGCCTAGACGTCATGTTGCTTGTAGTATAGACAGCTTTTTATATAATAGGATCCACAATACATTACGCCACCCGCTTGCTGTCATGCACAGTATGTAGGTTACATGACTATGTTATGGGGACAAAAGTTCAATTGTTTTTGTAAGTGAATACAAAATGAGTAAAGTGTAAACTGTTACATTTGAATACAAAAAAGTTAATGTATTATATAGCATCAATAAAAAATTAAACTCAATATATATTATTTGTTACTTCATTATTTGTTTTTGCCTCTGTCTCTTCTAGGGAGTAGCACAGCTTGTATAGTCGTTCTGGAACGTCGGAGTCACAGGATACACACCTGTAACCTGGGAGACTCGGGCTTCTTGGTGGTTCGGGGTGGAGAGGTGGTCCATCGGTCAGACGAGCAGCAACACTACTTCAACACACCCTTCCAGCTGTCCATAGCCCCGCCGGGGGCAGAGGGCGTGGTGTTGAGTGACAGGTGGGTCGGTGACACTCGCTGATAGCGGATACACTCACTGCAGTATCACAGATGGTTGTGTGTCACAGATCAGTGTCACAGACATCTGCGCGTGGGGCCATGTGGCTTTTACGTCAATTAATAGTGTAAGATGCACCTACTGTAGGAACCGACATGTTGATCTGGTGCTTACGCAGGCCATGTGAGTTTGATTTATCACGTTCACCCCTCTTACTTCCATCATTCCCTGTCCTGTCTTTCTCTACTGGATCTATTCATTTATTAAAAAATACATTAAATATGTAATTAATACATGCAGTGAATATACCTCTGCTGTAGCAAGTGTTTTTAATTTATTTTAAAAAAGCAAGTTTTTGTAGCAAGTTTTTAATTTATAAAAAAAAATAACATTTAATATACAAAAATAAAAATCTTTATTGGGTCATTTGGCATAATTATTGTCTCAGCAGTTAAGAAGTTTTGGTAAAATATTATAAACAATTGTAAAACATTTGCTAAATCAAAGTCATGTGATGCAACCAATGTGCAGAAACATGCTGAAAGGAAAAGAAAAACAGGAAATTATGTCATAGATATGCGCAGACCCCCTTGACTTTGTCAGGGTCAATAAATCAAGTAAAGTGGATATTGTAAAATGACACACAACCTCCAAAAACTTTGAGTTAATAAAAAAAAAGACGATAAATTTAAAATAGTTAATTGCATGCATAAACATATATTTAAGGTGTAAGGTAAATGTTAATACTTGATCATGGTTACACCATTTTTTTTTAGTCTTAAATTGTATGATTTTTTTAAAAACCATTTGAAAAATTTCTGAATTTCTAGGAATAGGAAATGAATATGCATTATTTTTCCTTTTTCAGTGATCGCAGGTATTAGTTGAGATTCTCCCGAACCCTGTAGAAGTGAGAAAAGCCAAAGAGTTCCGCCTAAAGCACTGTGTGTGTCTGTTGGCCCAAATCTTGAATGTCAAGGCCTTGTGATTCTAGTTCCTCAGTGCCGCAGTCTTGCCAGAAGCACACATCCAAACATGCACGCGCAAATACCCAAAACCTCCAATCAAAGAGAGAGGGCGGTGAAGCAAACCCATTCCTTTCAGCCAGTCAGCATTGTGCTGAACACTTGTTTACATTTTTTTTTTTTCAAGTCCCAGTAGAGGGCGTGATTATTTTAAGCTCCACATGTCCTGCTAAATTTATGTGGGACCTTTAGTTTATGTCGTCCGGAGTCTGTTATGGCAGACCTCCACACAAAACTCTCATCTAACTTTCTCATGTGCAGCAGGGAATCTGACCTGAGTGTTGGGTTCTAAGTGTGCCTCACTTGCACTAAAATATCCATTTACCTGTAGTTTTACATTAATTTATATATTCATTTTGGAGCCTCCTTTGAGTTCCGTGTTAACCTGGAACTCAAAAATGTAAATATTGAATTTTGAAATCTAGACAGAGTGCAGGTGTTGCAAGTCTTCTGAGATCGAAATGACTGATAATTTTAGCCAAAGAAAATTCATCTGAGAAACACAATTTATCATAAAGAGGCAACAATATTCTTAGTACCAAGTTCCTCTGTTGTTGAGGTTAGAGTTAACCGCTAGTGGAAGAGGTGTCTTCTTGAACTTTGCGATAGTCTAAGCACATCATGTAGAAGTTTGTTCCATCACAGAGGAACAGAGATAGTGAAGCTTCTAGAAAGTGACTTTGTACTTTGTTGTTTGAACAGTCCTCTAACCTTAAGTAGACCTACAAGTTTCACGATGCTGTCTATGTTGCTTAGCCACTTGTACTGGTAAGCCATTTAAAAAAAAATTCATACCATGTGCGTAATTCAAACCGGTTTACTGGTATATCGCCCAGCAGTACTTGAATCCGATGCAAAATCTGTGTAGGGGAAAAATTTGCCTCATTTGTGCCTTTTGAGATGAATGTAGTTCATCTGTGGGATTTTGCCATGCAAAGGTAAATGTGACTGCACCTTTAGTAAAAACTGTATATGTCCCCTTTTTGCCTTCTTAAATGTGACCTATAATCAGAGCGCCAATACTTACCCAATGCACTAAGACAGATTAAACTAAAACTCAAAGGATTTGGAGTTTGAAGAGGCCAGTCTGGTTTCTAAGAAAACAACCTGACTGTTGGATTTGGTCCCGAGGTCATGTTGGGTCTGGACTAGTTCTCTTAACCCCAAGTGTCCATTACCCTCCGTTTAGGTCAGGCTGATCTCTGCCCTGTTACCCTCTTTGTGCTACTGCTTGAGTTTCAACCCTGATTAAGTGTCGTAGTCTAATTTAGTGGACTAAATCATTGTCTACTCATTAGCATTTCTACAAAATGACTGGATTGTTGCCCATAGACATTAATCTGAAAACTGCAGGTAATTTATGCTTAACATATTGGATTGCAATTCACAAGGTTACGTTTATTTTTCATAGCAATGTTCAAGACTTGGCATCAGTCGTGGGTATGTGGGTGGCATAGTAATTAAAATACACTGGTATTGTAGAGCGTTGGCATGTGCCTTGTAGGTCTTATATTTGGTTTAACTGTATGTCTTTCTATCCGTCTCTTTCAGTCCTGAGGTGTCAGATAGCTCCTCCTTTGATGTCCAGTTAGGGGACATTATTTTAACCGCTACTGACGGCCTCTTTGACAACATGCCTGACTACATGATCCTGCAAGAACTCAAGAAACTCAAGGTACAGACAATACATGCAATAAATGTGAAGTACTTGGGTGACAGTCAACTGATTTGGTTTTTGGCTTATACCAATATTATAGAGATTTGTGTGGCCAGTATATTACCAAGTTGTATATGATTGTGTTATGATAGCAAATTAGACGAAATTGGACCCAAGGGGACGAGTGTCAACAATTACACCATCCTGCATCATATTTGCTGAATGAAATCCAGTACTTGTTTCTTACTAATTTCGGGATACTGATTCTAAAAATAGTGCCTGTTTTGCTCAAGCATGTCATAGTTTCTCGCAAAGTAGAATGCTTTTCATAGCATTTTTGCTTTTGACATCCATTTGTAAGGTGAGGAAATCTTGTATTAATACAAAGACATGATTCCTGTCTTCCTCTGGGCCAGGTTACAACCGTCTCTTCAATTCTCAGCCAAATTGCAAATGTATAAATGATTGTCAAGACATTAATTTATGCCTTATACTGATTTTAATTTTTTTCCCCAATCCTTTGCAGATTCTGTTAAATGATGCATTTGGAGTACTTTTTGTTATTAAAACTGAAGCTTTTGATAACACAAAATGATAAATTTTGGCAATATTAAGGTTTTTTGCAAACAGCAGATTTTATTTTTCAAGATGCAGGGCTGTGTTATCGAATGATACTGATAATCTTAGAATAAAATTGGCCGATATATCGGTCTAACACTATACTTGGTTATTAGTATGATTTCCAACTTTTTCATTTTATTTATCTTTAGGTTATCTGCCATTGCTGATGATCTCAAAATAGCCATATAATTAATCTCCTGGCCGATATATCGGTATAATATCGGTGGGTACTCTCCACGTTTTTCATTTTATTTATCTCCAGAACACCAACTATGATAGTATCCAGCAGACTGCCCGCAGCATCGCTGAACAGGCCCACGAGTTGGCCTATATCACAGACTTAGTCAGGGTCGCGCCATATTTACGTTTTCACAGGAATGAAAATGAGGCTGTGAGGGACAGAAGTACAGCACATTCAGTGGGTACTGATAGTTTAGCTGATGAAACGTCTTTCCGAAAAACATTCAATAGACAAAAACTCCATAAAACAGTTTTCAATGTTAGAAAGTTACATAATCTTGGACCTTTATATATTGCATGCCTTTGTAATGTCTATCCTTCACATCCTTGTTTTCAATATGGCATCAAACCTGACGAAGGTCTGTACCAGAGAATTTCCTTGGGATTATTTAGATTATTTGGATCAGGAAAGTCATAAATAAATTAGAAATAAAACAAAAATGTATTAGGAACACCCAAAAATGTAAATGATAAATAAAATAATTTTAAAAACCTGATCTAAACAACATCATGCAAAAAACAAATGCAATGTCATAAAAATTCTGTATTGTTCAATCTGTCAGAATATTCACATTTTTGTTCACTTTTTTCCCCAAGAGGCAAGTTTTCGAATTTATGTCTTCTCTTTACATTGGCAGCTACTCTCAATTGTTGTTTGCGAAGTTATTTTGGTATTCCAACTGATAACACTGGATATTGACTGTTTGAATACACCGATGTGACTTCTTCACTTACAAAATGTAGGTCCAAAAAATCAGTCCCAGAGATAGAATATGAAAAACAAACCAATTTGTGTACAGTGTAAACGAAGCCAAAGAAACTTGCTTGAAAACATTATTTTTGCAATTCTGTTTGGCGTCACTGGTGGTGCATAAATCACACGTTTCACCATTAGTGAGTGTCGTTGCATGGGATGATGTCTTGACTGAACCTTTTTGTGTCTGGAGTTTTGCAACTTTGTTTGCCCCACACACAACACACATTTTTCCAAATTCTCTTGTTATGGCAGATGTGCTTTTATAAATTCTAGTGCAATTTTCCTACATCAATTCAAGACAGGATAGTTGCCTCCACGAGTTGGGCTGATAGTGACTGAACGCCACTCAGATCTGTCTTTTACTGTGAGTGAACCAGGAGTGGCTCCATCATACAAATCAATATGCCATTTGCGCCTTAAATTCTCATACTGTCCCATTCAGAGGCCTTTGTGTGGCAAGGCTTGCGTGTCTCATCTGGGTGTCGCTTACAGCGGTGTCCTTGATTCTGGTTGTATCATCTGTCCTCTCATTTAATGGTTTCTATGGTGCTTCTGCAGTCAAGATGAATCTCTGTCTCTTAAGCAGACGTTGTGCGAATGAGAACCATACTTTTTGTGTGTACAGTGTAACAATGCAAGAAAAGTTCCTGTAAATGTTTTCCAAGCTGTAAAATATTTAAATAAAAATATAGTATTTATACTAAAATACGACTTATTATTGTCACTGTTTTTGCATGATATGAATATTCTTTGAAATTTACCTGAACCTTCAATGTATTTATTTCACATTAGTATGAATGATTTTAACTTTTTATCTACCACGGAAAAACAAATGTAATTTCTACATTAAATAATTTAGTTCAGGCAAGAATTTAAAAAAGTAAATTCTATATCAGTACTCAATTCAAGTACTCAGAAACAAATCAGTACTCTATCTCTCTATCTATCTATCAATCATCTGTCTATCCGTCTATCCGTCCATCCATCCATCTAGCTAGCTCTGGAGACCAATGCAAAATTATCAGGTTTGTGTTTAAATGTACGTGTTTATGTAAAATGAACATTTTAGTTTTTTTACTATAAACTACTGACAACATTTATCCCAAATTCAAAACAAAAAAAAACAACTGTCTTTTATAGCATTTATTTGCAGAAACTCACAACTGGTCAAAATAGCAAAAAAGAAGATAGTGTTTTCAGACCTCAAATAATGCAAAGAAAACAAGTTCATATTCATTTTTAAACAACACAATACCAATGTTTTAACTTAGGAAGAGTTCAGAAATCAATATTTGGTGGAATAGCCCTGATTTTCAATCAGCTTGCTCTCCACCAGTCTTTCACATTGCTGTCGGGTGACTTTATGCCACTCCTGGCACAAAAATCCAAGCAGCTCGGCTTTGCTTGTGAAAACCTATCTTCCTCTTGATCACATTCCAGAGGTTTTCAATGGGGTTCAGGTCTGGAGATTGGGCTGGCCTTGACAGGGTCTTGATCTGGTGGTCCTTCATCCACACCTTGACTGACCCGGCTGTGTGGCACGGAGCTTTGTCCTGCTGGAAAAAAAACAATCCTCAGAGTTGGGGAACACTGTCAGAGCAGAAGGAAGCAAGTTTTCTTCCAGGACAACCTTGTACGTGGCTTGATTCATTAGCCCTTCACAAAGACAAATGTGCCTGATTCTAGCCTTGCTGAAGCACACCCAGAACATCACCGATCCTCCACCAAATTTCACAGTAGGCCTCTCCTGGTCTCCGTCTAACCATTAGATGACCAGGTGTTGGACAAAGCTTGGATCCAATCCTTATGGTCTTTTACAAACCTCAGCCTGGCTCTTCTTTGCTTCTCATTGATGAAGGGCTTTTTTCTAGCTTTGCAGGACTTCAGCCCTGCCCCTAGGAGCTTGTTTTGATCTGTCCTCGCCGTGCACTTCACCCCAGCTGCCGTTTGCCATTCTTTTTGTAGGTCACTTGATGTCATCCCACAGTTGTTGAGTGACATTCGAATGAGTTGGCGGTCATCCCGGTCAGTGGAGAGTCGTTTTCGCCCTCTGCCGTTCTGTAGCTTTGTTGTTCCCAACGTCTGCAGCTTGACCTTCTTCTTATGAACCGCTGTTTTTGAAGCTTTGAAATTTTAAGATTGGAAGCAACCTGATGCTCACAGTATCCCTCCTTTTCCTCATTCAAAAATGTTTCAACTCTTGGTTGGCATGGTCAGAAGTTATTTTTGGATTCCAATTACTTTTGAGGTACTACTAGCACTGTTTTTTGCCATCCAATTGGTATATAATATATAATAGGATCTGCTGTGTTTTCTTCTGCTGACTGCTGTAATAGTGCTGTGTGTGTGTTTCACCACCGAGAGAAACCAGTTACTAACTCACATCAGTAACCTGACTGAAGAAAGAGAGCAGATCCTTACCAAATATGAGCAGATACTGAACCACAACAATAACCTGACTAAAGAAAGACAGCAGTTAGAGAATTACAAGTTGCTACTGCATCGTTGGCTTTATGAACAAGGTAAGTTTCTCTTGAATTGCCCTCAAGTATTAAAAAATACTTATTTAATAACAGCTTCTATTAACAGATCAGCGTGCTGACAACTTTAAATGGATTTACTACAACTTCAGCTTTTATTATATTTCATCTGAGTGGAAGAGCTGGAGTGACAGCAGACTAGACTGTCAGCAGAGAGGAGCAGATCTGGTGATCATAAACAGCAGAGAGGAACAAGTGAGTGACAAAGAAAAAGATTTTGAGTGTTTGTTTATATACATTGATGCATATGAATTGTTTGCATATTTATTTGAACCTAAAAAGGTGGTCCAGTGAATTTGAACTCTAAACACATATAGGCAAAAAGTATCATAAGCATATATGTTGTCATTACATGATTTTTAAAAGAAGATTGCTGTTTCTAAATATTTTTGGATTGGTCTGATAAAGACAGGAGGAGTGTGGAAATGGATTGATGGCACCACAAATGGACATGGGTGAGTGATCACTGAATTTCACTGATCATTAGCCTGAAAGTTTTTCTACAATTAGTTTTATATTATAAACAGAGCCTAAACTATTCAAAATATAAATCCTGGCGTGAAAAGGAATGTTTTATGTCCTGGACTGACAACTGTAACTGTGGCGTACTGGGTGCATCAATGATTCAATGTTATCCCTGTGATTTTACACACAGATTTTCCAGAATTATTTATCCATAATAACAACAAATATGTACTGAAGTAAATTTTCTTTTCATATCTCATGAGTTAACTTGGTCTTGTTTGTTAATTTTGTTGTTATTCAGAAATTGAATTTTATTTATTTATTTATTTTTATTTTAAAAATTAAAAATAAATGAACTTGTGCCAAGTTTCCAAAGCTTCTGGAGATTTTATTCTACATTTTTTCTTAGCATCACACAACATTACTGTCACAAACATGATCAAAATCCATTTGCAGGCTTACAGTAATATTTATACACTATTTTACACTATTTATTTAATTTCAGCTTCATTTCCCCAAAACATTGTTAAATAACTTTAGATTTAAGTAACAATAACAACACCGCTGGTCCAAGGCTGTGATCAGATCTTTATTACACAGCGTGTGATAAATGTTTTAACATGACATATCCACATAGTTTTATTTTTCAAGATTAAAAAAAAAAGGAAAAATCACCCATAAATGAAATGTTTAGACGTGTAAGACAGTGTGAAGAGTGGACAGAGCCTGGCCTAACCTCCTGCAAACTGTTAGGTTTAGGGCATGATCTGCAAAGCTGCATCAGCTTGTTTAGATGAAATAATGATGGGTAGATCTGCACTATAAAGAACCTTTTGTGCAATGGAAAAGTTCTATGGATGTTAAAAGTTCTTAATAGAATCTCAGATTCCAATAAATAACCTTAAAAGTATTCCTATCCTTTGGGAACTCCTATAAACTAAAAACTTAATTATTTAATAAGGATATACAATCCTTGCTCATCCTGCTGCTGTTCATTTCAAGGAAAAGGTATTGTGCATTTAATCAGATATAACTGGAGTGCAAGATGAGTGAATGCTTAGCTAAAGAGGTGCGTCTTTAATCTGGTTTTGAAGTGGGAGTGTTTGAGCCCCAAACATTATAAGGAAGGCTATTCCAGAGTTTAGATGCTAAATGCAAAAATGCTCAACCTCCTATAATGGACTTTGCTATCCTAGGTACTAGCAAAAGTCGAGGTTTTGTGACCATAAAGAATGTGGTGGATTGTAGCATGATAAAAGATCTGTTAAATACACAGGACTCAGGAGCTAAAGCATTTTAGGCCTTATAAGTAGCAAGAGATGATAAAATGTGGGGTTAGACTGTGTGTGTGTTTTTTTTAAAGGTACTCCTTTATACCTTATTTACCTCATATTAATACATAAAATATACATATTAGTAACTAAGTGCACATATTTGTACCTTTTGAAAGGATACCATCCCAGTGATAACTTTTGTACCATTTTTCCTGAGAGTGTAGCAGCTGCATTTTGGACTAACTGTAGCTTGTTTAATAATGTGTGCATATTTGAAAATAAAAATATTGTTTGCAAATAGTTTGGATGCATAGATTCTAGTATTACTTAACTGGTGAGTTTATTATTCAAATTAACATTCAGAGTGATGAATATAAACTGGTAGCACGAGAGGATTTAACCTCTCTAGAACTGACACATAATAGGAATGGCTGATAAAACAACACATTTTTGTGTATTTTCACAATCACAGAGTTTTTTTATGTGGCACATAGGTATATTTATGGAGGAATCACACCAGTGAGAGGAAACATTTGCTGGTAGGAGAACATCGGACCACTGGATATATTAAATCATTTATCACGTGTTATGGAAAAAGTCATTAATCTGTATATTTTTATAATGTGTGTAAATGATTAAGAGACTTGTTGTTCAGAGCTCGTCATTTACCATCAGTGCACCTCCTGAATGGGGCAGCATCAGTGTCTTGGTGCACCTCACCCTGCTCGACCTGAGCTCTGGTGGATTTGGGTGGAGAGAAAAAAGAGGCAAACCTCTGAAACCTTCCCTTTTTTTCTGACTCTTTTTCTTTCTTTTCACCTCTCTCCTTTGTGCTCGCCTCCCTCATTAACGCCCACAACGGGCGTCTTGTCAAGGCGAGGATGGAGCTCCGCCATGTGGTCGGTGGGTGTCGGGTGGACAGAGATTGACCCCATTCACACACACACCTCCGCTCGCTTTCTCTCCACAAGATAGTCGCTGTCCCATAATCAGCACAGTAAATCACTATCAAAAACTGCTGATATCACTAAACTCCTACTCACAACAAAGTGATTTATCCTGCGTCATGTTATAAGACTCCTGGAATTCCTCTGTGATATCACAAGGGCCCATACTGAGCTGAGTGCAGGAGATTCTCACACACATTAAAACAACATTACACAGTAAGATCATTTTGAGATGTAACTTTAACAAGCATTTAACAGCAGTATATTTACAAGTTTTTTTCAGCAAGAAAGCGTGAAGACAGATGTTTCATTTATGCAGCGGCCCACAAAATAATATTTAATATCTAATGTGATCCATTACATCTTGACTTGACTTGACTTATTGACTAGCTGGTTAAATTGCAAGAATGGCTATTTCAAAAGATGCTGAAATATACAAGCAATGAACAACAACAACAAAAAGCTCTTACTATTGCAACAATGTTTTTAATAGCATTGTAAAAGAGTGTAAAGTAAATTCCATAGAGGGTTAGTAAGTAAGTATGTAAATTTGATCATTTAGCAAAGCTATCCAAAGTGCTAAACAAAGTAAATGTAGCATTTGGACCAATCAGACACACAACTTTTTGTTAT